TAAGGGCACCAGGAAATTTCACTCAAAACCACAAACGTCAACCTCATGGTGGCGCCACAGGAGAAGTCAACAGACTTAAAGTCAAATCATCTTTGAGCTGTTGATCAGTGTGACACATCAGATTCTATAACCGTAAACGTTTTATATATATATATATAAAATTCTCTCTGTGGTCATCTACTGGTTTGTGAGATGTAGATTGTTTTCTCTCATATTATCTTTGTTCATGTTGTTTGTCTTGTTTGTTTGTGAACAAACGTGTCCAACCACAGGATGAGTCACTGACTTTGGTTCTGGGCGGTGAAGTGACCTCTCGTTCCTGCAGCCATGTTGATGAACATGTAACTAATGAACCATGAAAACATCTGAAGGATGAATTCAGACTGAATTAGTTGTGTTTTGATTTGATCTTCCAGCTGATCCCTTGTTATCATCATGAGTGTTTTCTCGTTCAGACGCTTGGAGGTAAACTAGGTCGTTAGCATTCCTCTGGATCTGTGGAGCGACTAACCGAGCCGCTGCTCTGGTCTCCATGTTTCTGTCAATGTGTGACTGAGAGCTGGTGAATGGCTTCAGGTGCGATCATACATGTGCACGTGTGTGTTTGCTCTGACACATCTAAATCTTAATGAAAAGGTCTGTGTGGTTTGAGCCCTGCTGACAGTGAGTCTGTTCATTTAGTATGAACCTAAATCAAGTTACTCTCTCTTTCTAAGAAGAAGAGATTCTCTATGGAAACATTTATATTTGTACATATTGTTTAACTTTCCTCAGACTTGGTTTGTTCTGCTCAGATAAAGATTCAGTAACATGTCACTCTACAGCCTGTTAACTCAGCGCCCCCTGTTGTTCATTATGGTATTACATGTGTGGCATAGTTCTCTCTGCCTGTAGAGATTTATAATAAATATCTTAAAGTACAGAATGAAAGTTTATGGTTGTAATTATTAAGTTTATACAATCCAATGATCACACAGAGGATCAAGTGCAGACTTTATAGAAGAGTGACAATAAAACTAGATTTTAAAAGAACAAGATTTAGTTGATTTGATATTTCAACTCGATTTGATTTGTTTTATTGTCTGTCTCATTTTATTGTTTTTGTTTTTACTGTGACTTTGGGTCAATTATTATGTCATCCCTTCTTTGAACTTATATAACATTCCATTGTTGTCCTGTACCTCTACATGCTTCCATGTATTAGATTTGACTTTTGTGTATGTATGAAATGTGCTATATAAATAAAACACATCATAATAATAACACAATGATAGTAGTAGTA